TTAATAATAATAAAAAAAATCTAACGCTTCAGCTAAATAGAAAAGGTCAACATGACCTATTCGCCAGATACCCGGGCGGCCCAGTTCTTTGTTGATGATCCGTGTCCATTATCAAGAATTGGGCCAATGGTCCACCGAAATTTGCCAAAACCTATAATCCACTACATATGATTTCATTTTCCTCATCAATGGGACACTTAATCACCAAATTACCCTCGTTTACTGAGAAAATAACCACAATCGTCAATCCCCTATTATGCAAGCATGCCACAACATATTGTAAGCATATACATACCAACTTATACATTGATTTCACTAACAATTCAATAATGTTATACAAATCAAAACAGTCTTAATTAGAGAGCACACCCCTTTTGCTAAGGTCACAATGAAGCAAATACATGGACAACTCACAAGCCAATAGCAATTGAGAAATAAACTCAAAAAAACAAAGAAGCTCAAACTTTAGAGTAAAAAACAATTAAAAACCCTAAAAAAGGCTAACAACCAAAAAATGAGCACATGCAGAGCTGACATACTGTTTAAGTCCCTCAAACTTTAGAGTAAAAAAACTCCAAACACAGTCCTTATGTGTTAGGGACCACAATCACAGCTCTTACTGAGGCTCTATTTCACCAACACTTACAAACCCTAAAAAAGTCACAACATAGAACCCCTGAATTTATGGGCTGCACAAAGTCACAAACCCCTCACAATCAAATTGAAATCCAAACCCTAAAATTCTTTTATGCAGTCAAACTGATATATTAATCAAACGAGTACAAGTGGTTGAATAAAAACCCAATTCACATCCCAACTTTCATTTGGGTGAAATGGATTTGGATTTGTATACAAGGTTTGTAAAAATTATTCGAGTCGACTGAAATATTAATCAAAAAGATGACTTGAAGGATTATGAAATGTTGCAAGAACATATAACCGGATAGTTTCAGAGTTCCATTTATTTAATCAAAAAGCATAAGCTAAGTTAAACTTGCATGTCATTTAGAAGCATAGTTCCCAGCTTTCTTTGCATCCTTGGCTAAAAAGGTACAACAGATTTACACATAATTCTAAATGCCAACTTTACGATGATATAATAGTATTAGCCAAGTTCAAGAAAACAACAGCAGAGCCAATAATAGAACACATTTCCATAATAAACAAAAGGTACACTGAACAAAGCAAAATTGCATATTAAGAGGCCAGGGACAGGGACCACCCTACAAAAGGAATCTAATTTGATTATACCCATAAACAGGATTAAGATATGATTAAAGTAGTGCCCCAAAAAGAGTTTACCACACTAATCATATAAAAAAAATAATAAACACATTTAATTTTCTAAAACAGGGCACCAACAGGATTTTGTGCTCCATCCACTTTTGGCAATATGTGTGGTGGTGTGGTGGTTCTAACTTCTAAAGGTCTCACCTCACAATTTTATGCTGACCTAAAATGGCACCAAATATATTAGAGTGATAAAATAGCAGAAAAAGGTAGGATAAGGGTGGCAGTAGGATGATCTGATTGAGAGCGTAAAGTTAACAAAATACACCAATTATATATGTTTTTAAGTACCCAAGAGATTAAAAAAGGAGACCAAAGAACATATTATATAAAGACTCCATGGTACAACCATGCACAAGAAGACCATATATCTTGCCGTACAACCGCAGACAAAAAGCAATATCAAGTGGAACAATAATCAGATTTTGAAGCAGACACATTTGCCTCTGACGAGTACATTAATCAAACTGAAAACCAAAAATGTGGTTCTGATATTTTAGGACTTCACCAAACCAATATTTGGTAACAAAAAATGAAAAGAGAAGATATGATGGTACCTTGTCAAGCTGGAAACCAGAAAGAACCGGGAAGAATACAGCCACCAATACCTTAAATCAAATTGCAAAATACATGAAGAAAAAAGCAATAAGCAATTTCACCACAAGAAGTGTGGGTTTCCACGAGCTACCTTAAAGCTTCTCATATTAATACACCACATGCAGCACAATCTTTCTCGGCAAAAGGTTGTACAAAAGTTTTTTCTTGGCAAGAGGTCGTACAAAAGTAATTCCCTAGCTACCAAAACACAAAAAACAAGAAACTTGTAAATCACACTTGGATGATCATAAAAACACTATTCAGTATAGAAGTCATTTTCCGTGGAGAATTAGAGGTACTGCCAAAGCTGCAAAACATATCCAAAAACCTTAGAAGTTCATAAGAAAATGCCCAACATAGCCAATCATAACTTAAGTAGCTACATAATATTGACACACGAGCACACACGAAAATAACCGAGAAAAAAGATTAGTCGTGGAATAATCAGAATAAAGGCAAAGGCAAGAGGAGCTCCCTTCAGTCCAAGCATAGACGGAAAAGGAAGAAACTATCTCCCGCATCATTCACTCAGTCACAGTAGCATAAACTCGTTTCTCGTATTCTACTAAGTGGTTAAATGAATGAGTCGGCAGCTAATTCATCCCCTAATCACGTCCATGAGTGGGCTGAAGGAAGCTCTTTTACACCATTCCTTAATGCAACATTATCACCTTAACCGCTGATATTTCCTAGTATTAATATTTCAGCAATAAAATACAATCACAATATTTTATATCTAGTGAAGCACAGAAAAAAGAACGCTGCTTCTTGCAGACAAATCTCAAAAATGTAACTCGATTATAAGACACCCTTTTAAGTTTTCATCCACTTTACTAAGTAAATTACGAAAAAATGGCACCTTGCGATTTTAAACTGTGAAAATTAGAACTTTGAGATGCTTATAGAAGAATAAGGACGAAAATAGGACAAATGAAGAAAAATACCATAAAACACATAAGTTTTTTCTTCATTACCTTGAGAAATACGAACACTAGTTCACTAGTTAGTATTAGTACTGCAGCAGTTACTTCTGCAGATTCTACTATCATTATTAACATGACTAACAATTGTAATATACTTACAATGAAAGGGCACTAGCAATAAAAATCATCCACACAAATCGAATCATTGGTACTGATCACAATTTTCATACGGGTTGATCGAGTGAGAACTCAAACCAAAAGTGTTGGTACTATTTTTATAGCTTTTTTTGGTAATCATTTAACACACAAAATTATCAAATTAAAGAAAATTGCAAAGAGAACCTTTTCAACTTCTAATCTTTTGGTTATTGCAACTACTATAAGAACACACAAACACGATGAGGGGCACAAAGTGAAATAAATGGAACTTCTACCTTAGCTGAAAAACCTCTTCAAGCAAACTAAATGTTCTTATAAAAGTCATGAAAATCCTGAAATAGCCAGCTTGAATCCATTTTTCACAACAAAGGCTAAGAGCTACTACTCTGTACAAACCCTAGCCGAAAGCACGAATCTCGATAAGAAGAACATTATATATC